ATCTGCGATTCCAAAACCRGGACTCGCTGACAATCTCTGACAAATGCCTTTGGTGTTGAGCCGGATCCGACCCAATGGGAGGCTACGGATCATCTAGTGGCATCCCACTTGGTGTGGAAATTCGTATATTTCACTGCGGACGACATTGTGTGCTTAAAGCCAGAACTCTCCTGACGCAGAGAGAAAGAAGGGTGCCCTCGGGTGCTGCCAGATCAAAAGGCAGATGCCCGGGGCTCCCGGGGAAGCAGCCCAGAACCAGGACACCCTCTTTTTCAAAAATATCTTAGGATTGGTTTAAAAGCAGAACAAAAGAGAAACTTTTATAAAACTGGCTCAAATGCATGAGGCCCTGAGTTCCCTCCTCCACAGGATGCAGAACTGAAGGCCCAAGTGGGAATCCTTCTGAGTGGGGAGGGGGAGAGGATCTACATGTCCCCATGCCACCCTCAGGAATTCATCTACCCTCACCAGAACCTCGGGGMAGGCCAAGTCAAAGTGACCGAATTTCTACAGATGCAGGGACAGTGAGGCTGGGGCCTGGGGACAGTGGGAAGTCCCTCCGACTCTCTGGCTTCGAGGACTTAGCAAGTCCAAGCCCTGGATCGTGGGGGCTCGAGGGAAGGTGGGTGGGGAAGGAAAGGGCCTCTGAAGAATCCTCACRCCCAGCCGCCGCTCCGAGGACGGTCGTGGACGGTGGGTAAGGAGGTGGCGCGATGCTCCCATCCCCTGCCCCTGGAGGCCTCAGAGCCTCAGAAGCGCAGCCCTGAGCTTCGGGCTGCAGGAGTTCTTTCTAGAAAGAATGTGGCAGGACTGAACTGCAGCCCTGAGGGGTCGGGAAGACCCAGAACACAGGGCTCAGAAAAAGGAGGGTATTAGTCAGACACCTGGGAGGATCGCCAGAAAAATGAAAATAGGTGGTGGACSGTCAAAACCTGAAAGTAGCACCGGACAGGCAAAGAATAGGCACTCCAAGTCAGCGGGCATCTCTCTGCCCACCTCTCCCCCTCCTCCCAGCCCCTGAGAGACATTAGGAACTACCTTATAGAGCATGGAGGTTTTAACCAAGAGGAAGGTAAGGGGTCATGGAATAGCACTTCATCACRTGAAGATGAGGAAACCGAGTCCAGAGAGGTTGGATGGCTGCCAATGTCACACAGCAAGTCCGTGGTTAAGTCTTCCCGTGGCASGTGCATGAACTGAACAAAGCCATAAGTTCATTCCCTTCCGTCAGGGTTGCCTGCCAGGAACATGCAGGAATTGGGGACACTGAGCAGAGCACCCCAGGCTTCCCTTGGAAGGGAGGGGAGATAGCGTGGTCTAACGGGCCAAGCACAGCCTCTGCCACTTGCAGCTTGGACAAATTATTTAACCTCCCTCATCTACAAAATGGGGACCAAAAATGATGAGCCCCACTTTACTGCCTTGTGGTGGGGATTGAGAGAGTGAAGCACAAAACTATCCAGGGGAGTGAAAACTGTAAAAATGCTGATGGTGGTGGTGATGGTGGGGATGGCAATGAC